GAGAGAGTGAGCGAGAGAGTGAGCGAGAGAGTGAGTGAGAGAGTGAGTGAGAGGGGGGGGGGTTACATAAAGCAAAGTTAAAAATAAAAATAAAATACGAAATGATGAACGAAGCAAAGTGCCGACGACACCGAGCATCTTCTTGTTTTCACTGATCGTAAAAAAAAGGAGCCAAGTCAACAGAATCTCGTGGCTCACAGAGAAAGGGCAAACCCAGGCTCCTAACGCCGATGCTGGACCATAACTGGGCCATTCTCTTGCTGGAGAAACGTTGGCTACCAGCCATCACGCACATTATACTACCCAGGTCAAATACAACCTCGTGACAGAAGCATCTCACGTACACAGAACATATGTCAGTGACAACTCTGGCACAGGCTAAGCCCAGATATAGCAACAAAAACCTGCGAAGCGAGGGAGAGAGTTTAAACGCCAGTCGCATTTTCCCTGATTTTACTAGAAAGGGTGGTGCAGTTAATGAGAAACCTTATTTTAGGATTTATCTGATTTTGTCAGGCCACAAGTTATTCCTCACATTGCTTCCACAGATAAGCGCAGGCTTAGGACCAGGCGACAAATCAAGCTGCGCCTAATCTTCTGAGAGCATCACATTATCGTGGCCAGCATGAGCGATGGGGATCGGATAAAGGAACCATGTTTTACCTCATGTATAATGATATGCCTGCGAAGTCCTGGACAGACTCGCGCCCAAAACATCGCCGTTTCGCATCGTGCCGGCGAGTCATTTGTAAGCAGTTTGGTTTACACGCATTCCATCGATAATATCGGCTGCGACGGGCAACCGCTTTTTCACAGCAGCGCCACTATGTCCGCGGCCGACTCTGCGGTACTCTCACAGCGTAAGGAATATCACGAGGCCCTGCACGCAGCCTTGCTTACCTAAAAGCAGTAATTTTGTTCCCCAAAAGAATTATTTTCTCCCGCACCGCAAATGTATTCCAATTGTGTCGCAGGCATCGCGTCGTGAGGAATCCATGAGGACAATCTCGCATGGAATTTTTCACAGGACTTCTACCAAAAAAAAGTCGTCATCAAGTGGCCCTCCTATCCCTTAGGTCGCACTTCTCTGCTTGAAATTACTCGTCACCTCACAGAAAAAAAATCTATATTCACATTTTTTTTTGAGGGGGGGGATTTAGCCAATTTATTACATCGCAGAATCATGGGGGATCACGGCAACTTGGTGAGGCCTTCAACCAGCAGCGGATGAACCCGTGGCTGATGATTTTGACGAAGTACAAGGCTTGAACGTATTGTGTTTTTTTGTGTGCAGTCAGTGGTGACCAGACTGAGACAATCTACTCATTACACTTGAGAACCCGGTTTAAAGCAACGCGTGAAACCAGATTTGAACGCAGGGTCTCAGCAGTGCCGCACGAATGCTCTGAACTCTAAGCCAAATGGCCACCTCCATTTCAAAACAGCTTCAAATAACAGATTGTATTGAGTGAAACCCCCGCCCTCCTTTCTGCTGCACTGGGCAGTGCTCTATATTTAAATTGTTTTAACTATTGAGGACAGTCAAAACGTGCTCCTACTCAGTTTTGTCAGAACCAAGAAGATCCGATTGTTAACTCGTCCAAGTATTTAATATTTGATGAGTGGCAAAATAAATTTGGCGGTCGCTCAGACTCATCGCCGTTCAACAGCGAATCCCTCTACTAATTCCTGTCCTCGTCTTTAAAACCTTCACCCTCCTCCCCCTTCTCCTTCCTAACCCCCCCTTTTCCTATCATCACCCTTCCTTGACATCACCACCCCAACACAATAATCCCATCCATTTTCCGCACCAGCAAATACTAATGTACCCTTTTTAGTTCTTGTAAAGCGGCTTCACACGTAGGCTTCCACGACCAGGAGGATTCCTTCACATCTCTCGCTGTCGCCTGATGATGCTAGTTGTAATGACTGCGCGAAACGTCGTACTCGAATTGTAAACGTTGTGGGTTTACTCTCCAACACATCGGTGTGCTGTGCTAGCAACGCATCGGCATGTTTCGTTTACGTGACAAACCTCACTAATTGGCTGTGTCGGGTGGCGGCGGGTATAACGACACATTTATATTTACGCGATCTAACCCAAAAACCTCTATTATGGGTCTCGTAAAGCGCTTTGACAGAAGCGCTATATAAAAATCCTAGCTAAAATAAGACGATAAAATCAAGGGCCTTGAAGGTGCACGTCTTCGCCATGCTCTGACGACAGCGGACGGCCGCTACGCACAGCATCACAAAGTCACACGCAGACTCAAGGACGCACCGCAGGATGAGCGTGGAGGGGGGCCCGACTTCAACCGTTGGAGGCAGCGAGCAAGCGGTTAACTGTTACTCGTTCCCCCTAAAAAAACATCACTGAAATTCACCCTGCATCTCTTAAAAACCCTTTGCTGGGGTTTCAAAACTTAACTTCAAAAGGGCATCGTAATACTCAGCAACAGTGTTGATGTTCCCTGAGGTTACGTTTACACAAAAGTCAGTTTTAATTTCGCAACATTATGATATGCTGACTTTAATTTTGGTGTTACTGATGTAAAATGTGCCAAGGAATATCCCATCAACAGGGAATGGATTGCACAATATTCCATATTTACTGTACACATAGAGGAGGATATTCTATGATTCGCGTTGAGTTATTAATTTTCAAGTTCAACGAGTGCTCTCACACATATTCCACTTCACACGCACTCTGCTCAATACCACAGTGTGATGAATGCACGAAAACAGAAGTTTGAAAAATCTGCAAAATAAAACAATTATTTTAGAACCATAAAATTGTAATTGCACAAGGCACTCTTCACAAATCCCATAACAATGCACAGCTGTGTGAATAATTACAGGGCAAGTGCAATTTATTCTCTTTTTTTCCTATAATGTCTATAAAATACATATATAATTTCCAGAATTCGTTGATGGACTTTTTCTTAATTCACATTCACTCTGGAAAAATTGAATTATTTATGCAATAACAAGATATGTGTTATTTTCTCACAGACATTAATCTTATGTTGGTATATAGTATTTTCAATAAATGCATCAAAGTCTTACAGGGCAATGCAAGCAAGGATTTTTCTGTACTTTAAATGCACTTCACGGTAATTAACAACCATGATGGTATTTTAATTACACCCATTAATGCAAAACACATCAAATACTGTTGAGCGAAAGGCTGTAATCTCTTTTTAAAAAGGGGGCTGCTATGTGCAATTGGATGAGCAACATTCTTTTTTAAATCTTCTCCGCGCATATGTCCCAAAATTTTATAACTTAACCTTTTTTTTTTTACTGACAAGCACATTCAACAATAGAAAATTACTATTTTAATTCTGATGACCTACAATTCCAATGCCACTTTCTGATATATAGTTTCTGGCCTTTTACAGCAAATACATTCAGGGTCATGATGATATTTTATTTTCCCAAAGCCTTATACACCACTGGCACGTAGCCTTGCGCTATTTCAGACATAGTGGTTAAAGTAAAAATGAACCATATTTTTGTAATGCCAATCAATTCTCACATCTGTTTTTAAAATGCAATACAATTTTGACTCATTAAATGGTAAGTCGCCTCAGAAGGGACATGTCACAGGAAGGAATGATGCCCAATGGTAAAAAATAATAGCGGAGTGGCAGCCACGGAATGGAACGTGTTAGGGGGGGTTCATCCACCTGGGAGATGGAGCAATGAAATCAGTTTGTGTGGTTTGGCACAGTACTCATCACGACAGAAACATAATATGAAAGCAGAAGCTCAACACACGTGTCAATAACGCCGTGGCCTTGAAATTAAAAATACATAAGAGGCGATGTTCCGGGGAATGGCCCTTCTGAAATGCACAGAATTTTTGTCATTAAAATTTTATTTAACTATTTAAAAAAATATATATTTTAATAGTGTTTTTTTTGCTTTCATTATTTTCAATTATTTTTATTATATTTTTATTATTTAAAAGGGTAATAAAAATTTATTTTTTATTTTTTTTATTTTCTATCTACGTGACTTTACCGAAAGAACCAAGAATATGAATAGGTCAGAGAGGTTGAATGTGTTGAGAATGTTTGTTACCTGCGCTTGTGTACCAATGCCAACGCAGCGTCGCCAATTAATTCGTTTTAAATGTTAACGAGGTCAGCGTGTAGGTTTGTAGGCGGAAGCAACTGTGAGACAATGAAGGGGATGAATAAAAACAACAATAGGACGAGCAATGTGCACCGTGCATGGCTCGTACCTTATTGGGACAGGGAGGTAATCTGCCACCACCCCCGGCCACAACACCTCTTGGCAGACTAAAAAATAGACTTTCAGGCCCCCAGTTGGTCCAGCTAGTTAAAAAATCTGGCTAGCCACGTTTATAAATTAAAATATTTTTGCAAAAAATCCAGTACACAACTGCCACCCCCGGATGACCTCTATATTTCAAGTAAACTAAACTTGTTTTTAACGATAATTTCACCAGGTAAGGCCCATTTGTAGCTCTTTTATTCAGAAGCGACCTGGCCACAAGTGACAGCTCAACGTAGCGGCTTATCGCGTGGACATTTACAGCGGCCAAATAATATGAACAGGGTCTAGGGGCAAATTTACTTCATTTCACATTAAAAGTATGTATTGTTCTCACCCAAACAGTTTTTACCGTTAAAGACATTTAAAATAATAATAATATACATTGCAAATATCTCTATATATACGAACGTAAGCTGCATCGTTCAGCAGAGCGCTGAAGATTCAGAGACGCTGTTGCCAAGGCGATAGGGGAAGGAAAACAAACCTGATGTGGGGATACATCACATGCTGTTCACCCATCCTATCCCCTCGGCTACAGCTCCTCCACATTTGCGAGCAACGCTCCAGGTGGCCCCAGCTGCCCATCCATAACCCTCACCGCGAAGTCAGTTTGCTACCCCCCCCCCCCCCGGCCAAAGCCCACCGCCACCGCCCCTTCACACCCAACTTGCGAAACTGCGGCGCCCGACACATACCTGGAACACCCGCCTGCATCCAGAAGTCGATGTCGGTGCCCTCGGCGCCGGGCAGAAGCGCCGTGGCGTTGAGCGGCTCGAGCATCTTGGCCACGTCGGCGACGACGGCGCGCGCCGCCTCCGAGCCCGAGAAGCGCAAGCCGAGCGGGCGGAACGTGCCGATGTCCGACTCCATCACGAGGTCGAAGTTGGAGATATTCGCCTGCGGTGGAGGAGACAAGCGAGCGAGCAAGCGGGCGAGCTTAAGGAGTAGGGCCTTGCCCGAAAATGCACCCTTCCTCGCGAGCCCGTTTGTAGTAGAGAGCCCACAAAAATAACTCGAGAGAAATACGTTTCGAATCAATTGAAATAGTTTAGGTCAAAACCTCTACGTGCTTTCCAGAGATGCTGCCGTGATGTTAGGGTCAGCACAGAGGTCATAGGTGTGGATTGCATCTCCCCGGCGCGGCAGATGACACATACGTACACGTGCAAATTCCCTGTGCTTTACGGGTCACGGGGACTATCTTACCACATCCCACCATGCTGGCCAGTGCAGATTTGTGAAAGTGAAGAACGCGTATGCAAAGGAGCGCAGTGCGGTACGGCAATTAGTTATTTCGAAACCGTCTTATCTGCCGACAACCTAGCCTCGCAGCAGGCTGCAACATCGATCCAGGCTAAATATTGCTCATCTTGGCTTCTAAGTTCTGATTAGATGGGCACTTTAATATATATACACACACGTATATGCATGTTTATAAAAAAAATCATACTTGAATTATAATTGGGATGCTCCGTGCTTTTGCACTTAATTTCTTTGCCGTCACAAAGGGCCTCATTAAATTACAGATAACAGCCTACGAGCTCTGCATATTTACACATGCGCTATAATGAAAGAAACATGTTGCTTTTATTTAGGATCCGTTTCTTTAGCATCCACAATGAGTCCCCAGGCCGCGGTGAATTCCCAAACGCAAAGACATCTCCGCTCCCCAGCGCACTGCAGAGGCCCGTACATTGTTTTATTACTTTGCATCGCATTTGATCTTGTTTGGGACGCGTGCCGTCATGACCCCGCATATGCAACTTTAAAGTAATATTCTGCGGCTTCGTTAATCAACTCGCCCGGCGAAGCAGTCCAGTGTTTATAAGTGGTGTTGGACACGCACTGATAATGAATAAATCACCATTGTGGCCACTGGCTGGTGGAGCCCATTTGTCCAGACATGTCAAGACAGCAAAGGGGTGAGTCTAAAACGTGAGCGATGTTTGAGAAAAGTATAACAGTGAGAGTTAAAACAATAAATGAATATCTGAAATGTGGCGTAGTGGTTTGTGGAACTCTACTACGAACCTTGCAAACCAGAGGTCGATCCCCAGCTACGGCTCACCTTTGCCAACCCGCGCTGAGCAATACGACAAAGTTCAAACTGTCCCCATGACAGACACGGCATGGGGAGGGCCTTCATCAGGAAGTAGGTAGACAAAGGGCCGGGTTTTTTTTACGTCACACTAACCGTGGTGTCGCTACAATTAATCACCCAGTTGGCTTTTTTAAACAGCTCAATGCAACCATAAAAATCGCCATTATGGACCCATGTCAGCTCCGAATTTACGTACAATGGTTTAGTGCAAGCAGTGGCCATAACATTGGCGTGATTGTATTTTGTTAAAAGCTGGCTCTTGGTAACGAGCGGCCTGGCAGGTATACAAGCAAACCTAAACGGCGCCGTGATATATCTTATGTTGCAGCAGATCTACGCTAAACACTGCGAGGGCCATCAGATCTGCACTGCGCAAACACGCGGCACCGAGATTCATTACAACCGAACGAGTTATCACCGTGTTTTTTTTTTATCCGCTTAATTTTCTCCCGGATTCATATTTCGCGAATTGTAAATCGACGCTCGCGAGTTCGGCACGAGGCAAACGCCGCCCGCTTCACCGCATCCGCGACTAACAACTCGGAACGGGCAAACCGTGCATTCCGCGGAATGCGTTTTATGGGATGTGCGTACCACCAAAACGCATCCCGGGGACATATGGCTTTCATCCCCCCCCCCCATACTGGCCATACCAAAGTGGCAGATCAACCGAGGTCAGCCGCCGCGCCTATTGACATCAGCGACTCCTGCTGGGGACTCCACCTGCATCTGCAAGAAGTGGCGAATAGTCCATGGGTGCCCGGCGAGCTACGGCCAAATCCACCACCCCCCCACTTAACGACCACGGTTTTCTGAGATAAAAGGGAGCCCTCCCTCCGCTTTTTTGCCCGCTCGAAGTCGCGTCGTCAAAGAGGGTGCCCCCCCCCCTTTTAGCACGGCGGCGTGCGGCTCGGCCCCTTTCAGAGGCCGCAGGTGCAGCTCAGCACGACCTCACGGCCGCCACCGCTGCCGCCGCTGAATGGGGGCGATGTGCACGCGAGTGGCCGCAAGCCACCGCGTTCCTCCGCAGCCGCTCGCCATTGTCCCCTAACGAAGGCTCGTGTGGGGGGCGGGGGGGGCGATGTGGGCGGGGGGCAATGATGGCGGCTTGGTTTGTGGCTTCGTAGCCGACTGCGAAAAAATTCCCCGCAGTGGAAAACAAGAGAATACGGATTCGAATAATAATAATACGAGATGCAATTATTCAATCGCTGACGTGTTTTCGGGTTGAACCGTGTGCCGCTCGGCATGATGTCCCAACGTTTCCGCTGCACGAAACTGAGAGCTTCATCCGGAGCTCAATAAGTCTGAACTGAGTAGTGGAGTGAAACGTTGGACATCATGCCGAGGTATGGAAACACAACGTGAGAGATGTCACAGCCGTACAGCGCAAGTGCGAAAACCTGCACAGTAGTAACACTGACAACACTGACAACTGAAGGTCTACCCACGCTCATGAATGCTAAGACACTGACTGCCAAGGCACGCCCACTGCTGTAAAGTGGATATATGAATGACTCTGTCACTGCATCCACAAAAGGCCAATGAATTCCACAGCACCGCTAGTCATAGATCATATGCCAAGCTTTCAAAATAACTTATTTTTATTGCATGTAACTTGACAAGTCTTAATTCAAGCTCTACTCTAACAGGTGGAAATATATTCAGAGAATGCATTCACACAAACAAACGAAGAAAAAGTTGTGAAATTTAGCTGGAATTACTCGGGGAGGAGCGGTGACGCAGGGGTTCGTACAATGCACTATAAATCCAGTCACCAGAGTTAGACGGCTAACATCAGTGGCAGAGCGATATCTAAACCGCACCTGGGATCTTATCCCTTCAGCGAACCACACTGACCCGGCACGGTGAAATATGACGAAACAAACCCCCGCGACTGACATAGCTCGGCCAAGTTTTCATCCAGCCACCAGCGGGGCTGTTGACAAGCGGCTGTAAGTCACCGCTATCAATTCGGGAGTAACAATACGAGGATCGCAAAGTAAAAACGCGATTCAGGTGTTCAAAGACAAAAAACACGCGTCCACGCACTTTAATCATTGTAACGGGATACGTGTTGCTGCGAGCGTTTGCTGCTAAGAGGCAGGCGTCAGCCATGCGCCCACAGGTGCAACGGTGAGACACGCACTGACAAGGGGGCATGGCGCCTGTAAAAAAAAAACTTCAAAGGGACGAGGCTGCCTTGGCAGGAACAAAAAAGCAAAGCCTGCAGCCACATTCCTGTAACTTTCATCCTTGCAGAGAGAAGGCAATAACACGAGAAGGTGACAGCAGTGATAAAAATATAGCATCTCGCTTTATACGTTGAGTAGGAACGCGCGCGCACGCACAACTTCATCGAGGCAGGCCCTCCCACGCGTTTGCTCTTTGAGGTCAGCATTAAAAAAAGATGCAAATATGAACACGCAAGCAAAGAGGCGGTGTGATGAAATCAAATGATTTTTAGGGCCACGACTGGACAAGAGTGGTAAATGAAGGTGTGGAAGAACATTAGGGGATTCTAGATTTGAAGCTTTCGTGACTGCAAGGATTCATACTCTTAGGTTTTTTCGGTAAAGTCACGTAGGTAAAATAATAATAATAGAAATAATAATAGAAATGTAATAAAAAATATTAGTTTATTATTTAATTAATATTATTGTTTATATTATTTTTTATTTTTATTTTTTATTTTTACCTACGTGACTTTACCGTAACATTAGGGGAGTCTGCCCAGCTATAGAAACATGACAGGCTGACATCAATTTCTAAATAAAATGATGACATTTGTTCCAGTCTTCTTACAAAAGTGCGAACTTATATTCCAAAACTTGAACCATACATTATGACCTTTTTGACAGTGTTAATGATTGAACAATAAGAGAAGGTTTGACCCTTACTGGCAATAAAGCAGGTGTTAAGATGTTCAAACATCTAATAGATACATTTTTGCAAGGCATCAAGTCTGCATTAACCACACGTACTTGTGGAAAAATATGCAAACAAACATCATCTGATATGATGCATTGTGTTTGAAACTGATTAGCCTACACCAGAGACAGCCTTCTTTACAGCCTTGTCTCACTAGTGTTAGGCCCGAGAAGACCAAAAGGCGAAACAGTACAAAGATAATGCAAGTATATGGGCATTTATAGCTTGGGTTGAGCAGTTGTATCTATAGGATAGTTTTTTCCAGTCTCAAATTGATAATACAGAAGATATGTTTTGTGTTAAACTACAAAAAAGGGATGCTACTCCTTCTGCCCATGATGCAATTGTTATGATACTGGCCTTGAAATACAGAGGTCGCCATTCTGATTCCATCTCCCAACACGTGAGTTAGAACAATGGAAAGGTTAATTAAATCCGTACTTCTCTGTCCACGCGGCAGTATAAATGTCATATAGACAGCTAGTCGACAGGAAAGGTCATGCTGGTGGGGTCATAACTTGGGTACTACCACTTCTTCCAAGATGTCATGTATGTTTGTCTTTTTTACTGATTGGCCGTGTCGGGTGGTGGAGGGTTACGACACATTTATAAATAACGCGATCTAAACCCAAAAACTTTGATTATGCATGTATGTATGTTGAACTTCTTTCACACGCTACGTAGCCAACCGTGCTAATCAGAGGTGCGGATGAGTTTGCCAAATACCCTCAAGAGTGGCCCTCTAGGGCTCCCGCTAGGGCGGCGAAAGCCCTTCCACCAGCAGCAGCAGATGCAGGGCTGCCCCTTGACGTGTTCTGCCTACGAAAGGCTTGCAGTCTCAGTAATAATTGTCAAAGTGATTCTG